CCTGTCCCTGACAAATGTATAGGACTGGTATGAAAGTAAATGGTAAAAAGGAGCAACTGACACTTGACTGACCGAGGACAGATAGGACTGATCTGAATAATGAATAGACCTTATTGTCATGAGGAGGATCAGGCTAGCAGAGACAGGAGGGTTAGAATCTCCTCCAGGAAAGGCAAAAGCATTGAATGCCCTCCGTTCACTTTGAGGGGTGTTCGGTGTTCACAATAATGATACTGATGCCCCTGTTTCCTCCCTCAGGAGTTTCTGAAAGAGGGAACACTGATGAAAGTGTCTGGGAAAAACAGGCATCCTCGGCATTTGTTCTTGGTAAGGATATTTCATTGGTTTGTTGCCTTTCTCATATCATATCATGGGTTTCCATGACTACTAAGGAGACTGAATATGGCCCTGAACTACAGCTGAGCTTGTGCACATTGGGGCTGCCAGGTAATTTAAATAGCACTGGTGATGTAACGTATTGGCATGTGTCAATGAGTGAGAGATGTTGACTTCTAGGATGTAATTTTCAGAAGGGTTCAGCACCTACAACTGGCACCAGAATTTCAGAAGATCTCAGCACAATGAAAGTGGCTCTGACTTTGGGCTAACAATTAATTCAGTTTCTCCTCAGGTTGAATCTCCCAACCTTCCAGCCTGGTTTGGTTGCTCCAGTGACTTGACCTTCCAGCTAAGTCATTAAAGAAAAAAGTTCACCCCTTTCAGGGTATCCAAGTCCAAAACACACACACAAGAGTCTTCCACCCCCAGTCCCAATCTGGGCACAGCCCCTCCTGCCTGAGGGTCGCTCTGTCTTCACTCTGAGGAACTTCAGACACTCTTCAACCTACTCTTTGGGCTTTGCTCTCACCCCTCAGGCCCTCCTGGGCTCCTCTGAGACCCTCCCTGCTCTCTACCAAGCAGTGACTCTCAGGCCTTCCTACTTAGAGTCTCCCTTTTCTCCACAAGTTTCTGTCTTGTCTCCACACCAGAAGGCCGGACTTAGCTACATGATCTGTCTGCCCCATGACTGCTCATTTTCTCCACCAAGGAAGGTGAGCTAAGGGTGTCATAGGTGGAGCTGGACCCATCTCCCCTTAAAGGGCCAATCACCCTGTGACAGGCTGGGTGCTGAAAACCAGACTCTAATTGGGGGAACTGAGAACTTGAAAATCTGCCCCTGAGCTCTTTTGAAAATTTGGTCCCTAGTGTCTGACCAACAGAGAGGATAAGGAAGCCACTACTAGCAAGAGCTTAAAAAAAATTATTTTGGCTCAAGAAGTAGAGCCTTGTTTTTGGAGCTCAAGGATGTGAGTTCTAGTCCCAGTTCCCCATTTGTGCATGAGTGTATGGTATCTAGTTATTATATTTGTTGTCTGTGGCACATTCTTTCTTCTGGAAACATAGCATCTCTTCACATTTGGCTAGAGGAATTGCTGCCCCAACGTCTTTTCTAATGTGTTTTTTGTTGTGGTGGTTTTTTTAACATTCATGATTTTCTTTTGTATTAGACAGTATTGGCTAATGGCTAGAGCAGAGATCTGGGGATCAAGACTTCTGGGTTCCATTCTCAGCTCTGCAGCTAGTTCACTCCATAACTATAGGCAAATAATTTTGCCTTTCTGCATCTGATTTACCCTCTCTATACCCTGGGGATAATGATACTTACTTGCTTTCTAAGGGATTGTGATGCTTAATTTCTTGATGACTGAAAAGTTCTTTGAGATCCTCAAAGGAAATGTGCCATAGAAATACTGAGTAGTGTTATTACAATACTGTGTTGCAAAATTTAATTTAAAGTCATGGGATAAATGCTTAGAATACTGTATTTTCTGCAGATTTTCTAAATCTTGAACAGGGAAATTTACACGGGGGCAAATATGAAAATGAGAGAATACTTATACCAAAGTCACATACTTTGCCATGGATTCTTCATATTTCCTCTTCTGATTATTATTTCATAGTTATGTGAAAAAGCTTCCTTACTCATTGCTCAGCTTCTCTGCCTGCTTCATCATGAGAGGCTTGATTGATTTTGTGAGGGACACCACGCTGCCCATATGCTTCTTTGATGGCCTCATTGATTTCTGCAGAACTCAAACTTTGATGTATTGGACGTAATGGGTCGAGCCAAAATCTTCATGATGTGATATCACTGCAATGCTCTTTTATTGAATCTTGCTGGACAATCTGAAACAATAGTTCTACTGCTCAAACCATAACCAGTTTTAAGCCTGTGGCAAAATTGCCATTGATTTGAACTGGACCAAGATTGGACCTTAAGAGAGTGACCCATCTAGCTCTATGGTGGTTAACTCTGAAACCTACCGATGCCAGTGTGAATGTTGATATTATTAATTTTTTACTGCTGATGATTTTAGCAGAAATAGCCAACTGTTTTGGTGCTGTGGGTGGATTTTGGAATTGTGGACAGAATTTGAGCAGAATGCCATGATGTTCATATGGTCATAATTCCACCATAGGAACATCAGAATCTGTGGCCATTACTATTACGGCTGAACTACAGGACCAAAAGGAGGGGCAGGAATCAGACAGAGAGAAAATCTAGTTTAAGTAATAAACAGGGATAGGAGAGTAATTTAAACTTGGGGGAAAAGGTAAACTGAGCCAAGTTTCAAATAAGATATACTTGCAAGTTTATCCTCAGCTTGAAAGTCACAGAGGCAGAAAATACTACCAAAATGAACGAAGCACTGAAATAAGTGTAAATTTATTATTAGGGGGCTTTGTGGTGGCAACTACCAGTTGAGGAACAACATCACGCTTCACCTAAAGATTCTGCTGCTCAAAGCTGGGTGTCAGCTGCAGGGAGTGAAATAATCCCTTGGCAGATGGAGATATTACATGTAGCCCGGGGATTCTCAACCTGTGGCCCACTTGCAGCCCAGTCAGCACATAGCTGCGGCCCATGTGACATCCTCAGGGCCATACAGGTAGTATATATACTGTGTGATTGCAGCCCATATAACACATAGAGAGCTCCATGTGCAGCCCACGATGGTTAAATAGGTTGAGAACCACTGTTGTAGCCCATGAAAAAGGGGGAAATGATTGCAAAATAAAATAACTCTCATGTTAAACTCTGAATGTGTTTGCATTATCTCCCCAGTAATACTGCAGAATCTGTCATGCTACAATCACTCAGGGGGTGTGCTTACTGGACCATTTGTCCTGTTAAACCAGCAAGGAAACTGCTGCACAGCTCTGGCACTTATCTCATTCTTGATATATAGCACACCTCCTATATGAGCCCTGAACCCATACCGTACATCTCTGCCAATGCAAGCAATCCTGGCCTGCAGCACCCCATCCAACCACCAGCACTGGACGTGTATCCATATTACACTTGGCTCTGCCAATGCACTTCATCCCTGACCTGCAGGACCCTGCAATACCAGTCCTGAGGCCCTGGCTCAGGGGTCCATCTCAATTCTGACCTCCAGCAGCCCCTGCTATTCCAGAATCCTCTGGAGTTGACTTCTAACTGTACTAGAAAAAATAACTTAATACTCTCCCAAAGGAGGGGAAAGCCTAGATTTTAAAATCTTCATTCATTCAAAACCCTGACAAATATTCTAAGGGTGATATCCTAATTAGGGTTACCATATTTCAACACTGAAAAAAGAGGACACTCCACAGGGGCCCCGGTCCCGCCCCAACTCCGCCCCTTCCCTGCCCCCTTAGCCCCACCCCTGCCCAACTCCGCCCCCTCCCATGAACACCCCGCATTCCCCCTTCTCCCTCCTGCCCCCCAGGCTCCGGCTGCTGCTGCGCTGGGGAAGTTGCTTCAGCCCCCGCCATGGTGGAGAGCGGCAGGAGCTGGGAAAGTTGGAGCCCAGGGAGGAGGCGGCTGCGTGCTCAGATGCCGCCCGCCGCCTCTGTGCCCCGGCAGATCGGCAGATCACGGGAGTTGTAAGTTTTGCTGCAGCCACTCGCACTTGGGGTCCCCTTACCATGCCTCCCTATTTTCCCTGACATGTTCGGCTTTTTGGAAATTCCTCCTGGATGGGGATTTGAGGACCAAAAAGCCGGACATGTCCGGGAAAATCTGGACGTATGGTAACACTAATCCTAATCTTATTGAAGTCGCTGGCAAAACTCCAGGGGGACCAGGATTTGGCCTGACATGTTTTGCAAAACGTAATTTTCAGATCCTTTGTGGATTTTTTATGGTCTTTACTGTGTCAATTGCTATGCCAAGAAAGTGCATTAAAATGGAATACGTGTGATTGGGTTTTGCTTCGGTTTTGTTTGGATGAAATAAGTAAATGTGCCTGAATAGACCTAAAAAAAAAAATCTGAAGAAAGGATTGGATTTCAGAAGTGCTCAGGAGAGGCCTAATTCTGCTCCCATTGACATCAAGTTAGGCCAAAGCTGAGTGCTTTGGAGAACCTCGCCCAGAAAGCACATGCTTGAGCAAAAGCCTGAGAAGGGATTTTATCCCCCAATTTACCCTAGAAATAAATCAAACTCAAGCTGTGGTTAGAACATGCTGTTAAAATGGTATGTGTGTATGTGTGCTATGCCTCATGTGTTTGCAACCACGCTTTGTGTAAGTCTCGGTGTTGTGTGTATTTGTGTTCACATGTGGGGCATAGGTCTGTAATGTGCGGTTCTGTGTGTGTGTATAAGCATGTGTGTGGCATGTACATGCATGTATTTTATGCAGGTGTGTAAACCTGCATAAGTTGATGAATATCTGTTGTGTGTATTGCACGGCTACTGAGCTGGCTGTCTTGTGTAGGTCGATGGTATTGTTGAATGTGGTGTTTCCTGGCAGGATGTTTGGTGTGTTTTGCTGGGCGCCTGTTTCCTGAGTCCAGTCTCTGTTTACACGGATGTTGGAGCCTCTTTGCAGAGAGCACAGAATGGGCTGCTGAAGCTGGCAGGCTCCTAATCGCCCCCCCCCCTCCCCCCACTACAGGACTCTTCGACTCAGACACTATCTCTTATCTCACACTTCCAAGAATTTCTCTACAAAAGCTGCTTGTGTTGGACGGGAGGCGGGGGAAGCTGCCATTGACTGGGAGATTTTGTTCCACACTCCAGACAACCAGGCTGGAGTTTAGCAGGATTCTGAGAAGTGCAATGCCATCCCAACTTCAGGCTCAGTCCTGCACTCTTGACGTTAATAGGAGTTTTATCATTGACTTAATTGGGAGCAGTATAGGGCTCTTAGAGAACAAATTTAGGACAATCAAATGTGTGGCAGAAGTTTCTGGAGAATAAATGCACTGGATGTAGTTAGTATTAGGGGTGGGTGAACTTTTTCTGCCTAATTTTGAATCCACTTGAACATCATAGGTTTGGAAATTCACTGTGAACTCTAATGTTATTGTATTCCACTCTATATGCATCCGAAGAAGTGGGCTGTAGCCCACGAAAGCTTATGCTCTAATAAATTTGTTAGTCTCTAAGGTGCCACAAGTACTCCTGTTCTTTCTAATGTTAATGGGTTCACATCACACTTAAAATGGACTGTGATGAAAGGAACCGAGGGAGAAGAGTTAGAGCAGGGAATGTATTCATGGAGTGTGTATATGTATTGAGGGGCACAGAATAGAAATACTGGTTCCATCAATATCTCCTGTGCAGTTCAAGAACCCCAGACATTTAAATCCTTCAGTGATCTC